AAAAAAAAAAAAAAAAAGCTGATATTCATATAGTGTTGTTCTATATAATAATGTTAATGTGTTCCCCTCCCTTAATGCTTCTTATGCAGGGATCAAAGTTAGGAACTCTTACACATTTGGAGATCAATATGTTCACTTCAATGTCAGCATTCCAACGTAAGTGTCTTAATTGGAGGAAAATTTGTCCCGACCTCTTACTCATCCCCCATTTTCATTCTCTGCTTACCCACTCTTTCATATAACTGAATAAAAGGAACTCGGTTTCAGTGGAGAAAATGAAGAATTATGGCTCACTTCTCTCTCTCTTGTTTTTGTGTAGTTTATTGCATGAACATTTTCGTAAATTTGGATTATTGAATTCCTTTAATGCCCTACCTTTAATAATACTTGACTGGTCGATCTTTCGTTTTTGCCTTTTAGAAACTTGACCCAAAGACAGCGGCAATTGATTGAGGAGTTCGCCAAAGAAGAGCAAAGGGATTATGATAAGGGTGCTGCTGCTGGTGCGTCGGGTTGAACAATCACTCCATGGTAATTGCCAAAGTCATGCATAACGAAGGCAAAACAGGATGTTCTGGCAGCGTTCTGGCAGCAGATTTTTGCGTTGAAGGTTTGATAATTTAATTTTTTATCCCTTCCACAAGCTGGGTAATATTAACAGAAGACAATCCATTATAGTTCTCATTACTTGAACCGATTTTGATCTCTTAGCTATGTTGTACATATAGACAAATTAATCTTACCATTCAGCACATCAGATGCTTGCATTTAGGTTACTTTCCTATGTTAGTCATTGTTCTCAGCTTAGTGGCAATAATTTTCCTGCATAAACTGGAGAGATGTAGTTTGAATGTAGAATTTGAAGTTGGCTTGCAATAATGAAGCTTCTATACTAGTATAAGATTGTCTCGTCAAGTCTATCGTATAGAATAAACATATGATTCAGCATTACAAATTAGCCATTCGAGAGAAGGGTCCGACAGAACATCGAAGTTGGCCTTTCGTAGTGCTGTTCTAATCAGTGAACAATATATATATGTCTTGTGCCATTGGCTTGAATTTTATAAAAGGAGATATTAGCATATTAAATAAGGAGACGAAGGGAGACTGCAAACAATAAAAAATTGATTCGATTAATTAAACGATTTAATTATATCAATTAGATATTCAACAATAAAAAAAATGATTCGATTAATTAAACGACTTACTTATATTGAATATAGTATTATCAAATACATCATTTATAAGTAAAATAATCACTTAGACTAAAATAATAATGTTTGAAAAAATACATTTAAATTATAGCAACAAGAAATTGAGCGAACAAATTTTTCATCTTAATTATTTTAACATCTAAAAAAAATTTATATATAAAAAAAATTCGATAATTTTTAGGAATTTTTTTTCTTATTGTTACTTTTTCTTCTTGATAAATTAATTTTTAAAATAATCTAATACAATTTTTTGCATAAAAGAATGATTATTAAAAAATTTTTTTCAAAAAAAAATGATTATTAAAAAATTTTACTTTAAAACAAAAAAAAAAAAAAAAAAAAACAAATTTGACGTCAAACAAAAAAGAATTAAAAAGAAATAAAGAAATAATTTTTTTAAAAAAATGCATTTTTAACACATGCGTTTAATTTCCGTTTAACTATTTTCGATATTTATTTAGATCATTCGATATCTCTACGATATAGTTCTAAAAATGAGTTTCGAGATAATGTAAAACATTTATCGATTCCACTATCGTACAATCGTCGACGAATTTTTAAAGTTAACTTGTTATCGAAAATTTCGAAATAGTAATATAATAATTGATTTTTTTTTACAAAAACGAATTATTCGTATTTTTTAACACATACGTTTAATATCCGTTTAACTACTTTTGATATCTATTTAAATCATTCAATGTCTCTACGATATAGTTCTCAAAATGAGTTTCGAGAAAATATAAAATATTTATCGATTCGATTATCGCACAATCGTCGATAAATTTTTAAAGTTAGCTTGTTATCGAAAATTTCGAAATATAGTTTGAACATACCTACTTTGACGTCCGATAACATTTGCTATGATTGACCGTTTCACGCATCGTGAACGACGTGCAATACTATGTCACGAGTACTTCAAAACGATATTAAGAATATAATATTTCGACTTCATTTGATATTCCGTAATGAGCCTGAAAATGAACACAAAAACATAACTAAAAAAAAAAAATTTAAAAATTTGAATTCAAGCACTCCGCGCTGCGCGGGTGCTCACTGGCAGCGCGGAGTGTCTAATTTTACTTTTTTCCTTTTTTTTTTCTTACGGACTTATTTTTTTCTAATTTTATTATTATTATTATTTTTTAATTTGGCTATAAGTTTTGCTACAGTTATCGAAATTGAGCCCATGACCCGAATTCAAAAAGCTCTTTTCGACACGCACGTCATGACCACCTAGCTTCGCTTGGTGGACATCGTTTTCGAGGTCAAATTTCGCCGTTTTTCCTTCCAAATCCCCAATTATAGTTTGACGTCAAATTTAAAAAATACGTATAACTCATCATTTTTTTGTAACGCAACATCTATAAAAAATATATTGTCTATATTTTATCGAACTCGTTTCGAGAACTATATTATGGACTCATCGAATTGATCTAAATGAATATCGAAAATAGTTAAAGTTACATCAAACGCGTTTCTTAAGTTTACAAAAAAAAATATATTAATAGTACAATTAAAAAAATTAAAATTAAAATTAAAAAAAAAACTTGTCTGTGAAACAAATTATTCGTATTTTTTAACACATACGTTTAATATCCGTTTAACTACTTTTGATATCTATTTAAATCATTCGATGTCTCTACGATATAGTTCTCAAAATGAGTTTCTAGAAAATGTAAAATATTTATCGATTTGATTATCGCACAGTCGTCGATAAATTTTTAAAGTTAGCTCATTATCGAAAATTTCGAAATATAGTTTGAACATACCTGCTTTGACGTCCGATAACATTTGCTATGATTGACTGTTTCACCCACCGTTAACGACGTGCAATACTATGTCGCGAATACTTCAAAACGATATTAAGAATATAATATTTCGACTTCATTTGATATTCCGTAATGAGCCTGAAAATAAACACAAAAACATAAGTAAAATAAATAAATAAATAAAAATTTGAATTCAAGCACTCCGCACAGCGCGGAGTGTCTAATTTTACTCTTTTTTTTCTT